AGTACTCCAGATGAGGCCTCACCAGGGTAGTGTAGAGGGGAAGGAGAACCTCCCTTGTCCTGCTGGCACACTCTTCTTGATGCACCCCAAGATCCCGTTGGCTTTCTTGGCAGCCAGGGCACACTGCTGGCTCATGGTTAACCTGTCGTCCACCAGGACACCCAGGTCCCTCTCCGCAGAGCTGCTCTCCAGCAGGTCCACCCCAAGCCTGTACTGGTGCATGAGGTTGTTCCTCCCCAGGTGCAGGACCCTGCACTTGCCCTTGTTGAACCTCATCAGGTTCCTCTCTGCCCAGCTTTCCAGCCTATCCAGGTCTTGCTGAATGGCAGCACAGCCTTCTGGTGTATCTACCACACCTCCCAGTTTGGATGCTTCTAGCTGAAGGCTGAGCTCCTGGTGAGCAGAAAGAGGCACGCTCAGTGTGCCCCAAACCTGGAGCTGGACCCTGGACTCTCTGAGGGGCCTCTTTTGTTCTCAGCCACGTTGGGGTCTGCTTGTGCTGGAGAAGACGATGCTGCTCAGCACAGTGAGACCTGCAGGAAGCACTCCACAAAGCTCCTGTCCAGGAGGGCCGTGCTTTCATTTGCAGGATTAAACAGCCTTCAACTCATAAAGGCTGTACACAGCCCCGGGGGCTACGTGCTTTCCAGAAGCTTGTTGAATTCTCACCTCTTTGTGCTCCTAAAAGCAGAGAACTCAATACAGCCAAACCATTGTTGTTCTCTAGGCTGAGTTCCTTCAAGGCTGGAATGACTGAAGTGTGCTTTAACCGCCAATGTAGTGTGTGCAAGTGAAATACAAACCCGTCCTGTTCTCCTCCACGGGAGCCTCCAGGTTCCTGTGGGCACACGCTACCTTCTGTTAAGCTGTGGTCTCTGCAGCTGCTTTCTGATCCTACGACAGCTTGTGATCTGTCTGGTGTTTCATGGGGCCAAGCTCTTTCCAGTGGTGCCCAGCGACAGGACAAGGGGCAACGGGCACAAACTGAAGCAGAGGAAGCTCCAGCTGAACCCGAGGAAGAACTTCTTCACTCTGAGGGTGACGGAGCCCTGGAACAGGCTTCCCAGGGAGGCTGTGGAGTCTCCTTCTCTGGAGATATTCAAGCCCCACCTGGACAAGGTCTTGTGCAGCCTGCTGTAGGTGACCCTGCTTCGGCAGGGGATTGGTCTGGGTGATCCACAGAGGGCCCTTCCAACCCCGACCACTCTGTGATTCTGTGTTAGAGGAGGGAGGCTGTTATCTGGAAAGGTAGGTTTGGGAGTACCCCAGGCGTGCTCCTTCCCCCCTGCGCAGGTCTCCAGCCCAGTGCCTTGTCTCTGTTGGAGGTCAGCTGTCTTGGAGGAAGGCTTATGGCATCCTGGTGTGAGCTCTGCTGGTGCCTAGGCATCCTGTCTATGCTTCATGTGCCCTTGCAGGGAGCTGCTTCAAGTCTTTTTTTTTTTTCTTCTGGTGGATCTGTGCCCAAAAGAACCCCTTCAGATGTGAAAATAGTGGTGAGGCTGGAGGTGGGAATGGAGCCCTTGTGTTAAAGGGTATCTTAGTCTCGTGAGAGGAGCCTGAGAGCAAGTGTCTGAAGTCAGCCTGCAGTGTCAGAGTGAAATGAGAAGTCATGGTCTCCGTAGCTGGACCCTGGGCCAAGGCAGCTCTCAGCTCTTCCTTGCTCAGGGGATCACGAGCTGCTTTTCTCACTTGTGTTTCTGAGAGGCAGAACTCAACCACAAATCCTCTGCTGAGCCGCTGCATGGGGAGCACGACGGGAGCGTGGCAGCTGGGGAAGTGGCTCGCAACCCTGTGCTCCTCTCGGTCGTGCTTTCGGCACGTTCTGGGGCAGCAGCTGGATGTTCTCGAGCTGCTGCTGCATGTCCAGACCCCAGAGGCAGCCATTGGGTGAGGGCAATGGGAGCTTCTTCGGTGCAGGACCATAGCGTGTGCCTTCTGCTGTGCCTGCAGACCTCTGTGGGGTTCCTTTCTGCTGCCCACACACCAGCATTAGCACTGAGTTGCCACACGGCAGCTGGAGGCACCTTCCAGCAGGACCTGCTGAGCTGTCTGAGGACAGGCAGTGGCATCTTCCTCTGGTGTTTCCAGGTGGGAGAAGCGCGTGGATCCTCGAGGCAGGTATTACTACGTGGACCACAACACCAGGACCACCACGTGGCAGCGCCCAACGGCTGAGTATGTCAGGAACTACGAGCAGTGGCAGTCCCAGCGAAACCAGCTGCAAGGAGCCATGCAGCAGTTCAGCCAAAGATTCCTGTACCAGGTGAGAGCTGGGGGCCGTGGTGGTGGAGGTCTCACCTGGGCCAACCCGGGGGACCTGGAGCATGGGGAGGAGCTCACGGGGCTGCGTGGGCGCTGTCGTCTCAGCAAGCTCAGCAGAGCAGTGCGTGGATGGGAGAGCCCATGACCTCCTCTGCTGCGTGCGGAGAACCCCGTGGGAGTAACTTTCTTTTTATAAAACAGCTTGCACGACCCTGAAGGGTGGTGGGAGGCATCCTCAGCAGCCTGTCCCCAGCGTCCCTTCAGTGCCACCGTGGCTAGGCACACGCTTTCTCCCTTGGCTCCAGTCAGCCAAGCCTTGCTGCTGACCTGCAAGGCTTGCAGGACTTGCTGCGTGCTGCTGGAGCTGGGCATGCGCTGAGGAAGCTGTGGGAGCCTGGTCTGTAGCAGGAGGAGAGGCTCTTGGGGCTGAGCTTGTCCCTCCCCAAGTCTCGGTTGGACTGAGGACAGCGAGCTGGGTCCTGCTTATAAATATCTGTAGGGTGGGTGTCAGGAGGACGGGGCCAGACTCTTTCCAGTGGTGCCCAGCGACAAGACAAGGGGCAATGGGCACAAACTGAAGCAGAGGAAGCTCCAGCTGAACCCGAGGAAGAACTTCTTCCCCCTGAGGGTGAT